TAGCTTTGGCCTCGGCTTTGGCCTTGGCCTTGGCTTTGGCCTTGGCTTTGGCCTTGACCTTGGCCTTGGGGCTGTCCTTCTGCTGGGTGTCCTCGGCCTCCTCCTGGGTCGCAGCCGGCGTGGTCGGAGCAGCTTCTGGCTCCTCGGCAGGAAGCTCTTCAGGCACCTCGGAGTCGGCCATGAGCACCACGGCCGGGAGCAGAGGGGAGCTTGAGCACTGGGCGGCTGCTCAGATTGTCCCAGATTTTGAATTTTTTCAAAATTTTTCAAAACTTTTTGAAACCATTTCAGAAAATTTTCGGAAGGGTCTTTTGGGCTGGTGCACTTTTGGTGCTCTTTTGGCGCTTTTGCACCAAAAGTGCACCAGACAGCTGGTGCACTTTTGGCGCTTTTGCACCAAAAGTGCACCAAAAGTGCACCTGGCAATGGTGCACTTTTGGCGCTTTTGCACCAGAAGTGCACCAGAAATGCACCACCTTTGGTCAAACTGCACCGAAACTGCACCATATGCCCAAAATGCATCAAAAGTGCATCAAAAGCGGTGCACTTTTGGTTCTTTTTCACCAAAAGTGCACCAAAAGTGCACTTTGCACTGGTGCACTTTTGGCGCTTTTGCACCAAAAGNNAAAAAAATGGAAAATTTTTCCAAAAAATTTCCAGAAAAATTTGACCGGCTCGGAAAATTTTCCAAGAATTTTCCGAAATTTTTCCAAATCTCCAGTAACACCGCCAGAGCACTGGTGCAGTTTTGGTGCTCTTTTGGTGCAACAGCACCACAAGTGCACCAGGCCCTCATCAGTTTTGCTTCGGCAAGATTATAGGCAAGCCGGAGAAACCGCACGACACAGCGACCCGAGGCCCAGGCCACTTCAGCTTGTTGAAGATCTGTTTTGGGGCGTGGCTCTTCAGTTGCCCCAAGAGCTGTCTGCACTTGGCCTCTCTGTCGGCCCCAGGCCTCGATCAAGCGTGCAGTCCCTTGCCCACTCCTGTGCCCCTTGAGACACTCCCCTGCAGAAGCTGCACAAGAAAACCTTGCCAAGTCACATCTTCCGGAAGACAATTATGGCCAGCACCGAAGCCACGATGTAAGCATCGGTGCCCAGGTGCTTGCTGTGCATCCAATCCGGACATAACCTGACAGGGTCCATCCGATGCGGGTAGGATCTGAGCTGCTGCCTCCACCGGGCTGTGGGACGGAGATCCCACCAAGGGTTCTGGTCCCGATCTGCATTGCAGTGAGCACACGGCGAGCTGCTGTGAAAGCTGGGAGCCTGCATGCTCTTCCAGAAGTGATCCAGATCTCCCTTGCAGCAAAAGAGCACTGCGGTATGCTTCCGGGCCAATCTCTTGCCAGCCCGATCGGCTCCCCCAGAGCCTCTCGGATAGCGACGGCCCATGTAGTCGCTGCGAGGCCAGCGTCCGGTCGCCAAAGCCTCGAATCAGAAGCTCCATTTCAAAGCCCGGTAAAAGCGATCCATGGCCTCATGTGACAACAGGGAACCTGAAAGACCAATCACGGCAGTAGAGACCAGCCCTCTGCAGCTGAGGCACGGGTCCATGCTCCTTGAATTCTCCCGGAACCATGGCCAGCACCTGATTATAGTGGCCAGTGTCCCCGAAAGTGAGAATTGAGGAGATGGAGTAGGCATCGATTCCTTTCTGCCAGGTCTTCCCTAAGCCGGTGACAGACACACCGTCGCCATGCAATGCCATAGGCAGCGGACGAGCTCCCTGCTGGATCTGTTGCAGGAGCTCAGGTCTGCCTCCTAGATATGGCGACCCCTGTATTTGGGCAGTCCAGAATGAGTTGAGCTTCTGGGGATCGTTCACCCCGACATACATGTCAAAAGCTTTCTCATAGCTTTCGGCCATTGTCGCGAACCACACCTGCAGCCAAACAGTTCTGCAGGTTTCCAATCGTGCTGTCGGTGTGACATCTTGAGAAGAAATGCTAAGCAGGAGCCCACAGGCATCCTCTGTTAGACCACCGTGGAGGGCCGCCCAGGCACGTGAGGCCACAGAACCTGCAGCATCTTGTCGCCCCCTTCTCTAACTGGTAGCCTGAGAGCTTCCAGTTGGAACTTCGACGGCTGCAGCAGTCTCGTGATCTGACGAAACCTGGGCATGTACTGTGTGCATACAGGAACATGCTCAAGAGATCCTATATAGCTCAACACGACAATTCAAAGTCTGAGTTCGGAGCATGTTGTGGCTCAGATGGCTGTCCCCTCCCAAACCACTCAACTGAGAAAGAAGACCGTTCCCTGGCTTCAGGCCGGCTGCCTCAGCATCCTGCTCGGCCAGTGAAGCCAGTCGTTGGACTTCGGGCAAGGAAAGATAACCCCAAGCCCACCTGCGAAGCAAGTAGTTGGCCAATGCAGAAGGCTGTGTCGCCTCAGCCTCTTGCATCCGTTGCCGAACCCCTCGTCTGTTCGCAGCAAGTAGGGACATGATCCCTGCATCACTGTCTATACTGCAGCAGGTTCATTCGGCTCCAAAACTGCAGAAGTGTATACGACTGCGTATGCTGCTCTGCGGATCCATGCATGCGACGAGATGTCTCACAAATTTTTCCAGGCTGTAGCGACAGCGATGCGACTCCACAGAATTATCCAGATTCAAACTGGATACGACTGCATTGCAGTCCGGAACACAAAAAGTGCACTGCACAGAAGACCCCTGCGTGATTGATGCTTCCCCGTCGATGCAGGGCATCGGCCTAAATCTTCTTCTGGATGGCCCGAGCCTCGGAG